GCCCGTAGATGGCGGGCCCTACCTATTGACCGAGTTCACGGTAGCCAGTGGGACCCACTAGGCGGCGTGCCCCAGCAGCCGGCGTAGAAGCCGGAGCCCAGAGACACTGACGGTCGGGTCCCAAGACCAGCCGGATTACCATTGTACCCCTGGGGGTAGGTCTATATAAACCCCCCAGGGTCACCCATGCAAAGGGTTCAACCCCTTAGATCATCACACACCTACATAGCTAGGGAGAAGTAGAGCTAGTTGCCTTCTTCCTCCTCTAGCTCGAACAGCTCAAGGAGCAACCTTGTATTTGCTATTGATCATAGTGATGCGGAGACCCCGCAGAGCAGGATTAGGGTGTTATCTCCACGGAGAGCCCCGAACCTGGGTAAGACCCGGCGTAGTTTGCGGTCTTGCCTACTCCCGCTTCTAGAGCCCGACAACGTTCTATTGACCCCCTACTTGATTAGCCACCCGTTGGCATATGTCGAGAAAATACCACGACAATTATGCATTTATCTTGCATTATTTGGAAAATTATGATCTCTCTCTCTCTCTCTCTCTCTCTCTCTCTATATATATATATATATATATATATATATATATATATATATATACTAGTATGTATGCACGTGCAATGCACGTCTTAAAAGAATGGAGTGATTTTGAAGCATGACTCGAAAAAAGTATAACAGAGTGATTTTGATAAATGGAATTCCACCCACAATTGTTTTTAATATTCACACAAAAAACTGTACATTCACATCTAAAATACTGTAGGTTCATTAAAAAAACTGTATGTTACTCTATCTTTTTTTTCTCCCCATTCTTCTCCCAAACCATCTTATCTGGGCTCAAGTCGTCATCCGCTCAAACGGTAATATGGCCCATGAGGCATCACATATGGGCCTTTTTTTTCCTGGAAGGGCCATGTGAATGTTCTAGAACAGAGTAGAGGCAACATCAATCTACTGTTCATGGCGAATCCGGCTGATCTTAGCCCTTGGATTTTGGAGACCAACGGTTATGATTGATGCTCTGGATCCATTTCAAAACTGATACATTATAGAGTAGTATATGTATATATATATATATATATATATATATATATACACATATATATATATATAGGACAAATATTTTCTACAAGCAGCGGTAGTTACCACCACTTGCGTTTTGTATGTTGTATGTAGTATCTGTCGAAACCGAGAGTATGTACGTGTAGTATGTAGTATATAATAATGATTAGGTAGTATATATACAATTTTTTAGGTAGTATGTACCATTTTTTGAGTATGCTCTTTTTTACGTACAAATATGTACGTATTTTACAAATATAACAAAAACTATGGGCTCATGTGCAATTTTTTCATGTAACTTGTTTTGAAATATCTTAGATATATTATATGAACATATTTAAAATAATAA